AAAAAAAAAAAAAAAAAAAAAAAAACTTTGACAACTTTGTGTTTGATACCTCAAGTCTGTGATGCTTAAATACTGTTATTAGTACTCAGATAGAATCAGCACATTGCCGCTCAATTTTTGCTATTTTTTTCACCTTACACTTATATCATTTGAATGCATATTATTCTAGTCTGCCAGATATAAAGCCAGTAATTTTTTTAGTTGTTGTGGCCAGTGTTACTCCGCCTTGCAGTCACTAGTCCGGCTAAGGAAATCATAAAGAAATTTCCAATCCAATTTTGGCACCCAGAGCACGGTGTTCATGCCCCCCCCCCTTCTCTTCGAAACAAGGTGCCTTTGATGTGATTGATAATGCGATAGGAGAAAGAGCAAACACAAGGATTGTGCTGGAAGTATAATCCACCTGAGGATGTAGGCATGTTTGTACTAGTAATGGATAAAGCCGAGCACTACCAGGCACCTTTTATGCGTTTTTGTATACATGCTGATCCAAAGAGTCACATTGCGATGGCCCGTGGTGGGTGTATGTCCGGGTATTTCAACTCAGCAACCAAGCGAAATTTGACGATGAAAATATCCAACTCTTTCTATTTCCTTTTCATCTGCAACTTCCAGCTGAGTAAAAATTGCCGTACGAATAATAATTATCAGGGAAGCTGCTGGACGTACGACTGCATCAAAAAATGGCGAGAGGTATTTCTTATAATATGGTTTCCGAAACAAACCAATTTTCTCAATGTGCGATTTAAATTCTGCGGTTTGGAAGTTACGATAAAATTCAAGGCAAAATCCTGAAAGCTTTTTGACCGCCAAAATCGCTGACAGTTTACAGCTGAAACGAATCAATGGCATATCGTGCAGTTTTCCTTTAAACCCGCGTTTAAACTCCGAGTAACAGCACCCGGGACATCGTGCTAGATCTGTTTCTGTTCTGGACAGTGACACGGAAGAGATCAGGCCTCAGTGCGAGAGAGGGAAGCAAACAGTAATCCACTTATTACTCAGTTCCCACTGATCAGTTTCATTCATTAAGGAAAACGATAGGGACGACCAGCGGCAATGACGATAAAACACCATTGGCGAATCCATGGCTAAAACTGTGCGAAAACTAGGAATGGAGCTGTAACACTGCTACCGGGGTCGCGGATCCCCCTCCAGGAGTCCGTCCTGAATCCGGCCGTGTATTCATTCGATGATGATTGATTAGGTTATTGCTGAGCCTTCGTCCCATGTTCCCTGTTATCTCACTGATCGAGGGCTGAAGAGAGGACGATGTGTTTTTTTTCTCACCAAAAAACAAGTTTTTTTTTTGTTGGGGCTAACTCACTGGCCGGAAATTTTGTATGTAGATACTGTTCGATTCTCAATGCGTTTTTTTATCAATTTGATGCCATTTGCCAGAAAATACCTCTTAATAATTCCGAATACGGGTACCTCATTGTGATTTAGAACGGAAAACCGAGTACTTGTGAAAGCACAACGATACACTCATGGTTTCATAGATGGGGAACAAATTGTTTTTGGAGAAAGTTTAGCGTAAGGAGCAAAGAGCGACTAAGGACAAACCTAGGATTGACACAGTATAGGCACGAAAGCTATCCCAAAGAAGCTGTTTGTGTCTCATCCTTATGTGCGACTTGAAATTTTAAATTTGGTTTCGAGGCACGTCTAGATCTCTCGTTATTCGCAGGTAAATTTTCTTTATGGGCTTATTTACCACCCATTTACTTTAAAAATAGGAATTCGAAATTCTATAAGAGTGCAAGTGTAAGTCTGTAAGTGTAAAATATGTGTTTGCTTTCGTAACTGCCTCGAGCGCAGACATTTCAAATTTTCAAATTATAATACATTTGTCACTCTTTTCTCTCAGCATCCAAGAAAGCAGAAATTCTCCGAGAATGTCAGCATATCTTGTGCGTTACTGAAACGTAGAATACCTTTCACAAATACTTAGGTTTCGTGTATGAATACGCCGAACTTGAGCGCGCATTTTGCTGACAACACCTACATGAAAAACTCACAGTAATCAGAAACGCTGGGCGCCGAAATTTCACGCGGCCCCACAATGCAGTACCACATCCCACCGATGAGCCAACCCCTCCACTTCCAAAGTATGCACAAACTGTTCAAAGACATTGCTAATTTGAGTGCATGTGTTACATTATAAAGCAACAATCGCTTGCTAACTTTAGGATTTGATTGCTTCAAGATTTGCGCAAAAAAAGCGTGGTCGCAACGCAACCCTGGTGCGCCTTATTAGCTGGACCTGTATATGGTTAAGGCTTTTGTCTTGTGCTAAAGCATTTGGGAAATAAATAACTGGTAGCAAGCGCTTTTGAATGCTTCCACCACTTACGCTTTTTGCCAGTGAAGAAATCACTGTGAATATTACCCTATTTTCAGTGCTGCTTTAAGTCTGCTTCTTTCCCACTTGGCGAGTTAGGAGGCTGTACTGACGATTTCCACTTCTACTTGCATCCGATACTTTGCCTGTGTTTACAGCTAAGGGATGAAACACACACTGCAAATTTATTTGATCCTTTCGAACATGTAAATTTCAAATAACTATTTTATTACATATTCGACGGTAATTTTTTGCAAGTGATAACGGCCATATTCAAATTTTTTCGTCTCCTTTCCTTTTGTAACAGCTGTAACTTCCAACGAGGTGGAAAATACAGTACGAATAATAAATATCAGGAAAGCTACTGGATGTACGGTTATATCAAAAAAGAACGAAAATAAAGAAATCATTCAGCGCGGAGCTGATTTTTGATCTTCTGCACGAGCCAAGGCTCCACGTCGAGGTAGCTGTTCACTGAAATAACTTGACCATGTTCAGCAAGTATTTCGGCCTGTTGAGCCCATTCGCTTTCGGTAGTGGTACCTGGTGGGTCAGCTTCTACCGTGGTGTTGTGCACACATGTGTAGCCGTTCAGGCAGATTGCAATCTCCACTCGTAACATGCGATTTTGATTTTTGATCAAGTAAATTCTTCTGTGTCTGTAATTTGCACAAGCGTTTATTAGAAATAAACTCCGTTTTCTTATAATTCTGTATTGGCAAAAAAGAAGAATTCGACCACCTGAAGTGAGTTCTCAGTATGAATGAGTGCAATAAGTAAATGATAAGCGAATAGTTCACATAGGGATATGATAGACGATAGCCTGAAAGCCTAATAAAAAGGGTAGCTGATCTGAGAAATTGCATAATTCTTCATTGAGAGGCCGCTTCGGCAGTTCTCCAAAAAACTTTGTTTGACGGCTGCCAACGCTACCAATAGTTCCGTAACATACTATGTGAGGAAGTGCTTTCAGTTTTTTGCTAGAATTCACATAACAGTAACAGCGGAAGATTGGATTGCGGTGGATCTGTGCTAAAATCTCACCGAAAAGCTGTAGATAATCGGCAGCACGATTTGTGATACTTTCAATAAAAAGCAATGATACCATAACAGCATAGGAAACCATAGCAATCATCGTAAGCAGGAGCGCATGGCGTCGCTCCGTGAAAAAATCCGAGCGCCGCGCTATTTGAAGCGACTGATACACATTATAGAGATCCTGCAACACATACCCTAGATTGCTTTAAGGACAAACTGGGATTGTTGCCATAAGAAACAAGAAGTAAATGAGGGGAGGTAGCAAAAGGCAAATGTTACAAAATATTTAATAACCCAAACTGGAACGCATCAGACTTGCCAGTGCGATCATGCGCTTTTGCACTAAACTTGCAGATCGATAATAGCAAGAATGATCCTTGCGCTGTATCCTAACTCTGCCTTTTTTCCCGTAAAAGAAATCTGCATATTTTTTCGGAGGCTCATACGCGAGGCCTAGTCGTGCGTATGAGCGGAAATTTTAAAATGGAAGGATGACACGTGGGGTAAGAACATATACCTGAAATTTCAGTCTTCCAGCTTTCCTGGTTGCTGAGATGAAAGTGGGTGACAAAAGTTCACTCGCTTCCGAACACACACACAGACGG